TCCCGAATCTCCTCCTCATAAGTCTTTACATGTTGTTACGGCTGGAAGCGCGCCCTCAAGAGACGCACGCCCCATACACTTGCCACTCGACCGAGACCAACGTTTTGAAAAGAAACCACCGACCATCCATCAAGCCTTCAGAAATTTACACATGTAATTTCATAGAGTCGCCCAGGACCGTTCTAGCGAGAGGCCCATGTTTTAAACGAGCCGCTCTCCATCCGTGTAACTGTTGCGCGGTTTTGAAGCTCTGCTCGTAGCGAAAACCCAATGAAACAGCGTGGGGGCCAGGCGTCCCGGTGGGGGTCGAGAGGACACGATATCCCGATATCTCGATATCACGATATCGGGGGATATCGTGTCAGGGGACACGATATCCCGATATCTCGATATCGGGGGATATCGTGTCAGGGGACACGATATCACGAAATCTCGATATCGGGGGACATCGTGTCAGGGGACACGATATCAAAAACGGAAATCTCGATATCGGTGGAAATCGTGCATGGGGACACGATATCAGATATTTTGATTTCGGGTCGGGGGGGGGGGGGGGGGGCTCGATGTACGGCGCCTTGCCCCCCCCCCCCCCTCCCCATGCCCCGGCATCGAGATATCCAGGCATCGAGATGTTGAGATATCGAGTCCCCATCATGTTTGTGTGGATTTCAACGGCAATTTTTTTCTGCCCGTAAGCATGCTTACGGCCGGAAAAAATAACGCTGCCCTCCTTATCATCCCCTCCCTCTCCCCCTCTCCCTCCCACAACTCCAACTTCTCCTCCTCCTCCTCCGGAACCTCCCCTCCTCCTTGCTTCCCTTCTCCCCCGATATCGAGATATCGAAGTATCGAGATGTTGAGATATCGAGTCCCCGTCATGTTTGCGTGGACTTCAGCGTTTTTCCTTTCCGGCCGTAACCATTCTTACGGCTGGAAAAAATAACGCTGTCCTCTTAGAGGAGCGACCCGCGTTCAGAGGGGGGGAGAGAGAGGTCCCGTCCACCACGGCCCCGAGAGGAGCACAGAGAAGCACGCCGCGGGCGCGCCTGGGGGGGGGGCCACGCGCATCATGGCCGCTGCCGACCAGGGCCCGCCCTAGCCAGGGTCTCGGCGACCTTCGACCGACGGACCTGGGTGCGAACACGAGCTCGGATCAGGCCTAGGGTACGAGCGGGGGAAGGGGCGGAACAAGAGGACCTAAGAGATTGGAAAGCAGAATGCAGACAGTCAAGGGCCAGGCAGGCGGACAGAAAAGCTTCATTATCAGCAGGGAGAAGGTGGGGGAGGAAGGAAGCAAATGGGTCCACTCCATAGTCATCAGGAAGAAGTCGATAGCTGTTACGAACGGCACCGATAGCAATAGGACAAACCATATAGTGCAATATATCATCCCCTCCTACTGCATGGCAACCGAACCGACACCCAACAGCTCCGCAACGATAACGTCTGGTCGTATTCCAGGAATTGAAGAGGCTTTTTAGAACAGCGGTAGCGACGAACCCAGGGAGCTTAGAACCAATAGTGTGAAGTCGAATAAATGCCCGATCAGCAAATTCCATGGGACATCTGGGGAACCATTTGGCAATGCGAGGATAGAGGATGGAAGGAATACGTGGCGTACTACAAGAAACATTCAACTGCTTCTGGATATACGCCTGGACTTTATTGGCTGAAATATCCCCTGGCTGGGGATGTATCCTATAGAACTCTTCATGCGCAGTCTTCATCTGCATGAAGATCGAGTGCCGAGTCATAACCTTATACCTCCAGGCCACGCAGATCTCATCTGACTCGGCCCAGATGTCAAGGAGCCTGGAGTAAAATAAAAAAAACATGTACTTCTCGCGGCAGCACGGATCATGCAAGCTCGAGCATATGTCTCAAGCCGTCGAGCTTCCACCTGGTGGCCGAGCCACCGCAAATTGAAGAGGGACATTGGCGGGAAGCTGTGCCTCGGGGAGCATGTGAGAAGCTGGAGCCCGTCTTCTTCTACCTTCAGTGCACACGGAGGAGGAACATGAACTTGCGATACATGAGAAACTACAGGAAGACCATATACATTATATGCCCCAATGCTAGACGATAACCCCAAGCCCATAGACTTGATCCTCAAACACCTTTCCTTCAACTTGGCAAGAACAGGGGCCCACGACTTTCCAGACGCTCCGATCCCAACCCCCACTCCAAGATACCACCCGCACCTCGAGACAACAAATTGCCGAATCCTGATTCCTGCTTCCCTGCAGAGCTGGGTGGCTTGGGTACATGTTTCCTCATCAGGAAAAACAAGCTGGCACTTCGTCAAATTCAACATCAGACCAGTGGCGCACCCACTCAGCACAAGGATCTTGCACACTCTCGGGAGCACACCCACAAGATCAGTAGCTGACGCGGCCATGTCGTCCGCAAACACGTTAAAAGTGACAGCCGCACATACTGAGACATGCTGTAGCCGTCGAACGACTGGGTCGAAGCAGAGGCTAAAGAGGAGACCACTAAGCGGGCAACCTTGTTTGATACCACGACACAGCTGGATATAGCAGGGTTCCGAGTTGTTAAATGAAATAACCATACGACTATTACCATATAATGCCATAATACTAAGCACAATTAATTCAGGAATACCAGATGCACGTAATATAGACCATATGTAGATGTGGTTAATGCTGGGGAAGGCCGCTTTCAGGTCGAACAGGGCCGTGCCTGCACGACGACAGTCGCAGAGGGAGTGCGCAAGCAGCATCGTCGCGTCCACTTCAATAATGTGGTCGATCATCTGCCTACCTTTTAAAAACCCTTTTTGGGCACCCAGGACCTTGTCACCCGCAACCTTGGAAAGCGTCCAACCAATGCTTGCACTCACAAGCTTGTTGTCCGTATTCGAAAGCGAGAGGGGCCGTGTCTCTTCAGCAGTGCGAGCAACTGTCTCCCCCTCCAGCGCATTGCCCTTCGGCAAGAAGGCAGCAGCACTGTCGTTAAAGTTGGGCGGCAGGCGCTGGTGCTCAACCAGCTCGAGGTAAATAGAGTAGAGGCATCCCAATCCAATATCTCCAGATGCTTTCCAGGCCGAGTATGGGATACCACCGGGCCCAGGGCAAGAGTCATATTTTTGTTCCAGGATTTCCGCGAAGACAACCTCGGGGATGATCCCGGGGTAGATCGAACCAGAGTCGGAAACATATTGATGCTGGTCTTCGGGTATCGGGGAAACTTCAGCGGCCAGTGATTCAATCATCCCGTTATCTACCTCACGAGCACTAAATATGGCACTCCAGTGATCCGCCAACAGCTTGGAGCACTCATTCGGATCGCTGTGGGCCATGCCGTCAGCATCCGTAACCAGCTGGAGAAAAATCTGGCGACCAGATTTCTTCCAGGCCTGGCCGAAACGGCGGACTCGAGCAATGGCTTGCGCGGCACGGGCTCCTCCGACGTCGCCATCCGCCTCCGCACGAGCAGAGCCTTCGCGAGCACGAAGGTTTTGACGCATCAGGTCCGAAAAAAGCGAGTCGAAGCCCTGGCGGTCCGTCCACCACAGCTCCTGAGGATCGAGATACCTGGAGAGAACAGGGAACCCCTTGAGGCCTTTGGAGATCTTACGAGAGTCCCCACCCCGAGCCCCCCGAAGAACACACAACATACAGGCGAGTTTTTCTACCACCGTGCGGGCCCCCTTTTCAAAGACCCAGTCCTTGACGCGCTGCGAGACGTATCTCATAACTTCTTTAGTCTCATTAAGTCGAACAGCCGGTGTAGTAGAGAGGGCCTCTGGATCCAATATTTCCTGAAGCTTAATACTGAATTGGGCATGCCTGCACACCCAGCTGGGAATACGCGTAGCGCCCGACGGGGACCATGCCGCAAGCGACAGAAAGACAGGGCAGTGGTCGGATGGGGCTCGGAGGTCAGTGATGGGCCAAATGGTCCCCGTCCTCGGGCAGAGGTCCAGCAGGTCCTGCGAGGCGAGCGTGGTGTAAATGCGGTCAAGGCGAGCAAATGAGACCTGCTCGCCAGCCCCACTCTCGCTTCCAGTTGCACGAATAATCCTGTGGGTATCCCTCTCCTGCATGACCTCCCCCAGCTGGCCGAGCGAGGCAAGAAAGTGTGATGCAAGACGCGAGCCTACAGGGCCATCCAGGCCAGTATCGGTATGCAGTCTCGATTCCCCCGTAGCCATAAAATTCCAATCACCCACAACAAAACCAAGAGACACATCGGAAGGAAGAAGGGCACGTTGAATACGAGAGAAGATCCCCCGAACCTCCCACTCCGCCCAATCAGGAACAATATGAACGTTCATAATCTGGCAACACCCTTGAGGTCCCTGGAGAAGGAGCGAAGCAATACGACCAGGCACTATGGTATCTAGATGTGCAGCAGTAAACCTCGACAGCAGCTTACGTGAGACAAAGAACAGTAGGCCTCCAGCGGCAGCTGACTCACAGAAGGTCCCGAACGGCTTGTGAGACTTGTGATCCTTTTCTAGCTGATCAAGGTCCTCTGCAATACCATGGGATTCCTGAATACACACAACGTCGTTTTTTTTTTTTTTTTTTTTTTTTTTTTTTTTTTTTTTTTTTTTTTTTTTTTTTTTTTTTTTTTTTTTTTTTTTTTTTTTTTTTTTTTGCGAGGAGGGTCTTCAGGCGCCTGAACTTCTCCCGAATAACAAATTGATCCGTGAACACCGATCCCAGAAGGGTCTGAACGTTCCAGGAGCAGATGCTGAGCCGTTGATCCACTGCAAGGGGACGAGAGGGGAGGGGGGAAAGAGGGGACTGACTGTCTGGCTGAGAAAACTGACTGCCGCTGCTGCAACTGTTGCTGCTACACAATGGCGCAGAGCCCCCAAACGGGGCTGCAAAAACAGAACTGCTGGCCTCACTCAGCGCCCCCTCCGCCTCGCGAAGGCCATCTCGTTCTGCGTCCCTGAGGTCGCTACGATGATGCCCTTGTGGTGCAGCCTATAGCTGCGCACGAACCCGCTCGATGATGGAGGACGCCGTCTCAGCGCTGATCCCCCGCTCGGCGAGCTCCTCATGGATTGGGACGAACTCCACATCCGACTTCGACTTGTCCCTGGCTGCGACGATCTCCCAGATGTCCTCATCATCACGCACCAATAGAACTCCTTTGAATCCGTTCACCCCCAGGCGGCATGACGGGCCCCACTTGGGGCTCTTCTTCAACTCATTCAGGAAGGGCTCGTAGATGCCATTGAAAGCTCTCTGCCTCATCCTCACATCCACTGGCAAGTCGGCACGGCAGCGAATCGATGATGTCTTCTGCGTACGATGGTCCACATAGTCATGGCCGCCGTCTTCGTTGTATCTCTGCTGGAAAGTCTTCGCGGCGACAGTTGTCGGGAAGGTGAGCTTGTAGCTCTGCGAGATGCCGTGGAAGAAGGGCGTCACTCCATTCAATAGATGCGCATAGCGTGCAAGAACCGTCTCATGGTAGTGCTTCTCCCTCGCCTTCTTCAACAGCGGCCTCGGGAAAGTACCAAGGAAGCGCACGCATGCATCCGTGGGAGCCTGTCGACTGGGGCCTCCTCCACCTCCACCTCCACCAGCATATGCAGGCTGAGCACCACCATCCATCGTCAGGTCAGCTGATCCCGCACTGGAAGGGGAAACGGAGCCCGCCTTCAGTGCGTACAGTTGGTTCTGCACGTTCTCTAACTTGGTGTCGATCGCCCGCCGCAACGGCCTCCTCGATCCTGGCTGTCGGTGCTTGCTCGACTGCAATGATCCTCGCATTCAAATTATGTAAACTCTGGTCTTGCAACGTGAGAGCATTACGGAATGTGAGCATTTCTTGCTGCATACTTTGTTCCAATTCTGCTATGTTATTATTCATGCCACGAACCTCTCCGATCATATCTTTCATCCAACCAGGAGGCTGATTGTCAGAACAAGCGCCCGCACTCCTGCTCCTATCATCACGGGGCGGTGGGGATGAGCTGATCGAGAGGCGGTCAGGGTCTCGGCGTGGGCGCCTGGGCGTCGGTGAGGATCTTCTCGAATGCGAAGTCCTCCTGGACGGGCTGTTTGACTCCGACGACTTGTCAGCACGCCTAGCCTTGGCAGAGCGGCCCCTCGCGGCCAAACGTCAGAACCGAAAGGGGAGGTACAATACACGAACACTGGCAACATGCACAGGTGGCAGTGACTGAAAGAATAGCTCACGGCCTGCTCGGGCGAGCACCTTTGGCCGAGGGCGCGCGCGCGGCGGGCGCAGGCCACTTGAGTCGGGGGGATGAGTTCCCGATATGGCCTTGAGCCAAATTGGGTGGTATGGTGGGAGGAGGAGGAGGAGGAGGAGGAGGAGGAGGAGGAGGAGGAGGAGGAGGAGGAGGAGGAGGACGAGGACGAGGGCGAGAGCGAGGACGAGGGCGACGAGGACGAGGAGGAGGAGGACGAGGACGACGGAAAGGAGGCCCATGGCAAGCAGGGTCCACGTCGGGGCTCGGCGGATCCGCTGCGGGGTCCTCAACGGCTTTGTCAAGGTCTGGGGGGCTCTGGGCAAGGGGGCGGGGAGAAGGCAAGGAGGATCAGGAGGAGGAGGACGGAGAGGAGCAACAGGAGCAGGAGGAGAGGCATATACATGCGTAGTTGTACCCATTTATGTACCGAGCTGGCTGACGAACAATGCAAATACCGAGCCGATTATACATGCACCATGTGATCGTAGACCACGCCCGCCACTCTGCCTGGGTCAAGGACAGGAGGCCTATTTGGGAGACTTCTTAGGCGTATGTTGCGAGACCATTCGTGGTCCTCCGAGAGGCATTTGTGGTCCTGTTGGTGGGGGGATCTTTGGGGCCTTCAGCCGTCTAGGAGCGTTGAAAACACGCGGCGTTGCCACGCATCTCTTTGCGTCGTGCATGCATTAGAGCATGCATGCGCACACATAGTCATTGAGCTACGTAGAATTGTGAGTGCACGTATCCACGTACAGCATACACATCGATATTTACACACTGTCTGTACACGGAGACAATCGTACGTACGTACATGTGGCTCGGTTACAAACGAGCGCCCTAGTTCATGTCATCATTCCACTGTTCAACGGTTCAAGTCGACGTCGGCGCTTGTCCCGACTAGGTTTGTCCTAAACTCTAGAAGCGCGGTTCTCGCCTGCCCCCTGACTATCAAGCAACACATGGTTACGAACATATGAACTTATTACCTATCAATCACACTAGATGTACTCAACATATACATGTGTATACACGCGCGCACACACACACGGATGCACATGCATGCGCTTCGATCATACATGTTATGCTCACATCGTATAAGTACATACGCATGCCTACATACGCACAGATGGTTCGGTTGCATAAGACCGTCTTATGTCCTATCCTCCTTTCGCTGCTCGTTGGTCGTCGTCGTCGTCGTCGTCGCCGCCGTCGTCGTCGTCGTCGTCGTCGTCGTCGTCATCGGTCCTCGTCCTCGCTCTCGCCCTCGTCCTCGTCCTCGTCCTCGTCCTCCTGTTTCTCCTCCTCCTCCTCCTATTCTCGCCCCTCCTTCCTATCCCTCCTCCTCCTCCCCCTCCCCCTCCTCCTCCTACTCCTCCTCCTCCTCTCCTCCTCCTCCTCCTCCTCCTCCTCCTCCTCCTCCTCCTCCTCCTCCTCCTCCTCCTCCTCCTCCTCCTCCTCTAAGCAGACTTCCATGTAGCGGGGGGCCACTGGGTCCTCGATATTCTTCGAAGCATCGGGAACAGGAGGAGGAAGGTATGGAGGAACCCAAGCAAAAGGGAGGCGAGCGAGGAGGAGGGGAGGCTCCTGAGGAGGCTCCGGAGGAGAAGGAGTTGGAGTTGGAGTTGGGGGGGAGAGGGGGGAGGGGAAGGGATGATCAAAAGGACAGTTTTTTTTCCCGGCCGTAAGCATGCTTACTGCCGGAAAAAAAACGCTGAAGTCCACGCAAACATGACGGGGACTCGATACCTCTACATCTCGATACCCGGATATCTCGATATCGGGGGAAAAAGGAAGCAAGGAGGAGGGGAGGTTCTGGAGGAGGAGGAGGAGGAGGAGGAGTTGGAGTTGGGGGAGGGAGAGGGGGAGGGGGAGGGGACAAGCTAGGTGCGCTCGCGTCATATCTGACATCCTACCCCTCCCTCCCATCCCTTACCATGGCGCAGATCCTCTCTCTACTCGCACAGTCGGATGTCAAGCAGGGCGATGATCCCGAAAGGGTACGCGATGCATTGTAGAGCACGGCATGGCATGGCGTAGAAGAGCACCGCGAAGCGTAGTATCAACCTAG